ACACACACACACACACACACACACTTTCTTCCATTCCAAACAGTAGTACATCATATGCCTCCTTCCCCAATCATGCATGGCAGTACACAGATTAGCTCTGTTCTTCTAATACACAAAATATTCCAATCAGGGGAATTGTCCACAATTGTCCCAAATTGGTGGCAGTTACCCACTTTTTGCTATTAAAAACAATGCTTTAATAAAAATCTTGGTATACAGGAAAAATTCTCAGATGTAGCATTGCTGGTCAAGAGATGGTGTGTGTGCACTTGTGAAACATTGCCCAAGTGTCCTCCAAGAAGCTGTATAATCCATACTTCTGCCAAGGTCATGTCTGAGTGCTGCTTCCCACAACCTTGTGACAGCATTTCACTTCTTAGTTTCACAAGGCTGAGACATTTTCTATGAGGCAAGTTACCTCTAGATTCATGAAACATTTGGAACCAAAACATAATCTATCTGATATTAGTGTGAACCCTTCCTCTTTCTTCTTCCTACCTCAGGAGAAAAACCATTATCAAAAGATAATTACTCTGAAAGGTTTGAAAACTCTGACTCCTTTTTTTACTAACCTTCAAGGTTAAAGAATAACACTCTAAGAGAGTTCCTTCTAGGCTGCTGAATAGAACTGTCAACCTGTTTCAAACTAAGCATAAATTATAGGAAAGGTTAAATCTAAATTTTGCTAATACAGTGATGCAAAGCTGCAATTTGTAGAAGCAAATTTATGCAAGCAGCATTTCCTGATCATCTGCCTGAGCCAGATCCTGGGCAGACCATGGCAAGAGGCAAGGTCCATTTTTTGTTTCTGCCTTTACATTTGAGATGAGAAGGCAGGCAACAGACCTGGCAAAGGACAAACAGACATTTAAACAGTAGAATGTGCCATAGAAACAGATCAGGGGATGGGCAGAGCAAGATCAGGGTGGAAGCTAGGAAGTCAGGGAATGCCACTGCCCAAGATATTGGAGGGGAAAGAGATCTAGGCAGAAGGAACAGCAGGCAAATAGCCATGAAGGGTATGAGCTTGGCCCATATGAAGTACTAACATAAGGCTGATGTTATGGGGGAATCAGAGTTCCCCATGTTTTCAAATATGCTGCGGACCAGCTATTAAATCCTTATTAACAACCTTACACAATTTATTTATTGTGAGAGGGGAGATATTTGTAGCAAACACCTCTGCCAATGACTAGTGGCACCTGCTTCTTGCTTTCCATAATTCAGCTATAATGTTTTATATTGAATCAGACCAAAGCTGTTTGACCCAAATGTGCAGATGATGGACTGGGAGAATACAGCCCCTCCCTCACTGGCTGACACAGAAACCTAGAGCCTGGTCTGTGAAGTGGCAGGGTTCTGCTGAGTTATGTGCAATTGAGGTCAGCATGACCCTGATTAAAATCCTCTCCACTGAATTACGGCTTCTCACTGACCCAATGGGTTACTTTTTAATTGCACCAGGTCCCAATACCGGGACCAAGATAAATAGTGCTTACTCCCTAACAGCCCTGCCTGGCACAATCATGCCAGGTGTTCGGGAGTATTTCACTAGAAGCCTTCAAAGCATATCCGGCTTCCTATTCCTTCCCATGACTGTATTCAATAAATACTGGATGCAATACTGGGGGCCTTTGTCTTTGCTATCTTTGTCTTTGACCCAAGACTCAGTTCTTTCACTCTTAAGTTTCATTTCTTGTCTCTTAATTCACCTTGTGCTGTGGTAGCTCACAGACCACAGCAGAGGGCCTGGTAAGGTCCCCTTCCCCATTCCCTATGGATTTTATTTATTTAGGTACCAGGGACTGAACTTGGGACCTTGTGCTTGCGAGGCAGGTGACAGCACCACTGAGCTAAATCCCCGGACCAATTTTATTTTTATGAAGTATTTCAGCTTACTGCCATGTGCTGTAAAAAGGCCTACTCTAAACTGAGTGTAGAAGACCAAGAAAGGGCATGGGGGACTCTGAAGGTGGATAATACAAGGCATTTTCCCTGGCAGTGCTCCACCACAGGGACAGACAATGGCACACACTGGGCTGTTCACTGTATGTTCTGTATTATGTTCTTTTACCTGTGGTCAACACTGGCTGTAAGTAATAATGGACTTCCTTAAAGTGTTCTGACTCAAAGCATGTTTCAATCCAACTATATGCACTTCACAAGAGATTTGGGCTCAGTTGTAGCAACCAATAAAAGTTATTGCTAGAATGCCTAGTTCCCTCTTAAACTGATCACTAGTCACCCCTAAAGTAAGCAAGACAAGACTATGTTGAGCAGCAGAAATCCAGGTAGCACAGGTTGCAGGCCACAGCTGACTTTTCCAAATGCTCTTTCAGGCAGGTAGGCTTTAGTTAACGAAGATATGTTCAAGACCCGCCATATGTGACAATATCAAAGTTGTGGGAGGGTACCTTGTAGATAGAGTGCTACCTGATGGCCTTCCCTATTCTCTACTCAGGGTTTCAGTAGTTCACAGGGGATGTGGTGTTATTGGGGATTATTTCCTCAGCCTAAACAGGGAAAGACCTCCAACCTGTGCTGGTTCTCCTGCCTGATTCTGACAGACTCAGTGCACATGGCTGTAGGGCCTGACTGTCCTCAAAATATGGGCTACCAACCAGGCCCAGTTAAAATCAGAATGTCAGATTCCAGAAAAAGCTTATGCCTCACACACTTGGAATTTATTCTCTAATATAAGAAAGCACACTCCTCTGTGACTTTGTGACAGTTTTCTAACACAATGTATCTTCCTCTAGTGCTCCTGGCTGTCCTGTCATCTACAGAGACTGGACACAGCCAAGAACTGCCGGATGTTCCAGTATCTTCACAGACATGTCATAAGCAGCAAATCTGGTCCTACTCTCAGTAGCCTTTTGGATCACATCAGAAAACTCTTGTGTAGTCTTATGAGACACAGGAGGATATCCAAGGCACAAGGCACTCAGCTCGGTTTAGTGGGCTCAGTGTTCTGAGAATTGTCTGCTTTCTTCTGAAGCACATATACAAAAACAGTAACTAAAGGATGTTTTCTCTCTTCCTTATATTTCTGGAAAAGTCTGTGGGTTCAACAGAATACAGCACTATGTTTCTGGGCTCAGAAAAAGATATGGCCCCAGGAAGACCTCTACCCCTACCATTATGAGTAGCTCCTGAAATGACCGTGGACCTCAGTGCAGTTTTAACCTATAAGGCCTGACTATTCTACCTGCCCAATGTCCTAATCACTCACGGACAGTGTCCACCCTGCAGGCTATCTGCAGCAACCACAGAATTCTCAAGATTGCCTCTTGCGGTCTAAATTTAAAGTATGTTCAAGCAACAGAGACTAATTTTTCATCAGGCCTTGTAGACTAAAAGAAGGGTAAAGACATCTATCAATACTTCTCTACAACAAAACCAAAACAAATGGAACTCTAGAAACATAGCCCAAAATAAAGGGCTCCACTTTCAAAAAGCATTAGTTGCTTTGGATCAGTTGTGCCATACCTTCCTCCAACACAGACAGGTGGACTAGGGTAACTCCAGAATATCAACTACTCCCACTTCTCTAACACCAGCTCCAATGATCTCCTAATTTCTCACAAAGTCCAGTTAGCCAGGGTGAGGCTTTAAGCTTCTTTACATGTTAATACAGATGTTTCTCTGAAATTGAAATAATTTTAAATAGACAAATTGCTACTGTCTCTGACCTTCAAAACTGCATTTTACAGTCCAACCCTGCTCTTGGGCAGTGTGTACGTGCCTGGTTTACAAAAAATGGAGTACAAACCTCACAGTGGGGGTACACTGACCAAGACTAAATTGCCAGAGGGCAAGAGCCAGCACAGAAACTCTGTGTTTTCTTTGGACTGTTCATTTACAGAGGATAAAATTCGTCAGCTGTCCAGCCAGGTCTCTAAAGCCTCCTGCATATTCCAGAACATGCCCTCCTCTCCTGGTATGAATGCTCTGTAGCCTCTTGAGTTTCAATCAGTGTAGCTTAACCAAAAACTATTTCCTATCTCTGTGAAACATCCTATTCTCCCTTCAGATCTATCCCAAATATTAGTTACTTTTTAAGGAAGACTTCCATATTTCCACACAACCTACTGCTTCTTCCTCTGCCCCACAGTACCTGTTACTGTCTTTTAGTGTGCCTGCCCTTACAGCAGTCAGTATGGTGCATGTCTCTTTCTTTGATCAGATCATGACCTTCTCTGCAGTATAAGCAGGAAATGTGCTTTAAATAAAGGAATCTGAAAACCCGTCCACATGTTGACTGTGACTCAAATGACAACTAGGACACAGAAAGGTGTTGATTATTTTTAAAGATCCTCAGTATGAACCCCACCTTCAACTTTTTTGGTGAAATGAACCTAAGGAATACATAAGGATTGAATCAACAAAACTAAGTTCACTCAAGTTACTATGTGTGTCATACAAGCCTGCTGGCTGGTAACTTGAGAAGTAAGGAACAAAAAGCACCAGGGTAGGTCAAGGGCCCAAGTGACTGTCACACTGGCAGATCATTCACCCAGCAGCCTTCTGTTTACTGAAACAAACTAAAATAAACCTTAGATGGCCAAGGTGGGGCATATTTGCTCCTTGGACCACTTGCTGAATGCCTGGAAGGTAGGTGTAGGGAGTGTGGTTTACACTCTGACAAATCCCCCTCTGTGCTTCTTTCTCAGTGGTTGCTCAATTAACATTTAAAAGAATTCTTCTTTATTCAGAGTCTATACAAATATAGGTACCTTTATAAGTGTAATGTTACTGAAGAGAAAAAAGTTGAATGGACAAAGAAAGTACTGCCCGTGTTTCCTCATAGGACAGTGGGTGTTATCCAAGCCAGTGTTTATATTTTCTGATTCTTTCAACAACTAATAGAGATGAAATGGTAGCAAACAGGAGACAGAAAACAGCCAGGGAATTGAAATTAATACACCTGCACCTCTCTACTGTTGCTTTCAGAACCATTTCATGTCTTGTAGTTGATACATGGAATTAAAAAAAAAAAAATCAATGACATACAAAAATGGCTGGGAATGATCAGGAGGCCTTCGCTTTTACTTTGGACAGCAGCAACTCATTCTTTCGGCCCTCCTAGAGGAGAAACAGAGAGAGGATTAAAGAGAGGTGGTGATGACATCAGTAACTATGTGGGGCCCTGATGGTCTGTTTTTCCCCACTACTTCTGTAGAAGACACCTTCTGACCAACTAAACCATACTCCTAACAGGGTGAAACCAACTAAACCATATACCTGCATGGAGAAACTTCCCAATGATCTGTTAACCTACATACAAAGCCAAAGCAGGTATAATGACACTCAGTTTCTAGGCTGTCAGACAAAAGACAGGATGAGATTAGTCACTGTCATTCCAAGACTTTGAAGTTTCTAAAATATTCATGGGTCAGAAGCAAAAAAACAGACACCTATTCACCAGTCTGGGTGAGAAATTAGAAGGGGCCTTAGAGACATGAGACTCCTTATCCTAAGGGGTAAGACAGGCAGCCCTAGTAAATAGAGAAACAAAACAAAACAAATCATACACATATATTCTAACAACAGTGAAAGCTAGGACTATCCTCAGCTTTAAGAAAGAATTTCACAGGAAACAGGATGGGAGGTAGATCTCAGGAACACCCCACACCCCATGAGCTGTATTAAATCTATGACTAAACATGCTGAGGGATGTTACAACCTTCCTGTGATATTCAGTGTTCTGTGGAACAAGTCACCAGACTCAGTTACCATTTCTGACACAAAATACCTGACAAAATTTCCTCCAAAGTTAATGGAGAGTAAGTTTATTTTGGCTCACAGTTTGTAGAGGTTTCAGTCTATAGTTGGCTGGCTCTAAGGTAGGGTGGAACGGCAGACAGGCATTGTGGAGGAGAAAGTTCATGGCAGGCAGAAGGTAGCAAAACCAACAAAGTAGTGAAGAAACAAGTCCAAGGGACCTTAGCAGCTTCTTTCTTCCTCTTTTATATTTTATCTAGGCTACTGGGATTAGGACATTGCCAAACTAATCAGTGGACTGATTAAGTAACCTCACACCCTTAACCCCAGCATCACATATTCTAGATCCAGCCACCTCTGAAAAAGTGCCACCTCTGACAGCATGAGGCTTTGGGGGGCCAGTTAAATACCAGCTATAACATCACCTCTGCATCTTTCCTTCTTTGGAAATCTCATTATGTGCTTTCTAACACCCTTATTTCTACTGCCCTTTTAGTGCAATACTTCCATTTGCTAGCAAATCTCCAACAATCCCAACTCAATACATAGGCCCTAGGTGTGGCAATAATCAGGCCTCTAGGGACCACCCTTTCCTGGAGACACATTTACTATGGGAGAAAAATGTTCTTTTACTCCTGAACCTTCTGAAACCAAGATCACCAAAATCAGTTTCCCATCTCCCTGGGCTAAGCTCCCAGCTCTCTGGAAGAGATGCTTCCTGAGCAGATGCTCCTTTGTTTTTCTGAGGCAGGGTCTCCCTTTGTAGTTTAGGCTGACCCTAAGCTTACTATGTAGCCCAGGCTGGTCTTGAACTCGAGGTGATCCTCCACCCTCAGCCCGGGTGCTGGGATTATAGGGTGTGGCAGACTTCCCTAAGATAAGTGCTGATTCACACACAGGATTTAAATTTATATTCCACTTGGAAAGCTGGGAATATTTGGGCTCCTAGGCTGAGGGCAGACATGGATTCTTCTGCCGGACTATCAGAAACAAGATGCTGATACCTTTCAAGCACTTTTTTAAGATGAATTTTTGAGATCTGCTTGAGAGCGGGAATATACTAGTTTTTAGAAAATGAGTGAAAAGAGAAAGATGGAATAGAAACAGGAAGTTATAGCATTATACTGTTACTTGTTTCTATCTGTGTATTTTTGGAGATTTTCTAACAAAAATATAGAACACTAAGTAAATTTCAACTGTCTTTCTACCTCACATTTTAAATGAGGCAAAAACAACTCAGAGGCATTAAAACACTTCCACCATAAAAGTTCTTCACCATAGGTAACTCGTATTGTATCACAATGAGACTATGTTTGAATTTTTTCAGTAAAAGTGTCCTATGCTGAAAATGGATGCATATTGAGGCCATATTCTTAAATGAAATAAGAGACGTGTAAATACCAAATATTTTCTCTGGTGTGAAAATTTAAAGTGTAACTGAAAGTGTAAATAAGATCCAAATTGTATAACTGATAATGTGAAATAGGAAGAAAAGGGCTAAAGGTTACCAGAGGAACTGGTAAGGGTAAAGGAAATAAGGGACAAGAAAAAATATTAGAAAAGGAAAAATGGAAACAAAGTCTTTGTAAATAGGGGAGGGTACAGTGGGTGAAGGGAGGGCAGGGGTATGGGGAAAAAAATTAGAAACAAGATCTGTGATGTAAAGGTACAAGATCCCAATAATGAATGTAATTGTACTGTATACCTGAAATGCACCAATAAACTCAATGAGAAAAAAAAGATAAACAAACAAACAAAAATATCCCATGTTGTCACCTGCTATGTGTGATTAAATTTCATGATGAAATCTCCCTGAAACTTTTTGGCAGACTATAGAATGATGTTGTCTGTTTCTTCAAAGCAAAAACAAAAAGGGCCCCTTAGGCATTTCTTTCCAAAGAGTGAAAATGACTCATCACCTGTCTCTTTCCTGCTGAAGACCACCAACCCAAAATGTACCATGTACAGTACTTATCAGTGAACTCAGCTCTCTCAGGATTATGTCTCTAAAGGTAGCATCATAAAAAACAAAAGGTCTGCACTCACCAGTGCCATTCTAGAATTTAAATCTTAGTTTCATGGTCTTTGGAGAAACTGGTTTAGTGACAATCAATTAATATAATACAGTACAGTACAGTGATTCAGGTAATTTCAGAGTACAGTGTATGCTGTTAACAAACTCTCCAAGAATGAGCAAGTCAATGTGATTTTTAGAGAAAATTCAATGTCTCTAATCAAAATGCTGTTGATACCAGAGGTAGGAGAGGATGAAGGCATGACATGGTATCTAAGCAGTGTTCATGGGGCATCAGTAGTGCTCAATTAATGTGGGTTAAACCAAACTGAGAAAACACAACTGTGAAAATGGAAAAAGGCCATTACTGGATGACAGTACTGTGCTTTCCATGAAGAATAATTATTGCCCATTACAAGTGGTACGGGGCTGAGATGAGGTGAGAATTCAGAACACAGAAATAAAAGGCCAAACAGGTAGGGGAGAAGCAGGTAAAAAGGGCAGAGCAGAGCATTCAGAGAGAAGGTACCATCTGGGATGAGTCTGATTTTTCAACTCTTTCTACCACAAAGGAGATCTTAATCTGGAATTCAATGTATGAAAAAGAACAGCAGAGTTACTTTAGCTGAAATTATGAGTGGAGATCAGGAATAGCCAGAAAGCCCAGCCAACTCCTCAACACCTATAGTGGCCCCAAATTATCTCAGTAGAGCTGGTGGAGAAAATTTAAGAATTTGGAATGCTGATTAAGTGGCTGTCAATTAAAAATTTTTGACAAGTAAAATGAAAAAAAAAATACCAAATATTTTTTTTTTGAGAGGCCAAATTTTAACATGAAAAATCAAGAGAACAAGTTTTTTTTTTAAAAGAAAGTAACATATATATAATAAAACATCTAAGAACATAATATATAACCCCACCTGCTTTGGACTGAAGAGAACTTAGGCATGGGCAAGCATCTGGTTTTGGGGAATTGGTCTCTGAAGTGTTAACAGCTGACCCCATATAGGGGGATCATGGAGAATTTTGATGCTTAATAACTTGGAAGGAACACTTTCCTTCGGGGTCACCCTAAGCCTTCAGCTCTGAGAGCCTGCAGTGCGAGGATGAGGTTTTCCACTTTGTTTTCATGTGCTCTGACTTCAGCTTGTACTTAGCTTCTACCACTTGCCTTTTATTTCCATACTGTCAAAAGGGCAGTGCTGGAGTGTCTACATCTGAAATGTAATTCTTCTCTATCAGCCTTTTCTCTTTTGAGTTACTTGGGTTAAAGGGAAGAAAGCACTATGGAGGAGAGCAGCACCATTTGTTCCCTGCCAGCTTCCTCACTATGGGACTTCAGCTCCAAATTCTCTGCCAACCACTCCTTGGCCAAGAATGCCCTGTGCTGCCTCATAGCTAATGTGGTCTTGCTTTCCCAAGGCTGAGTGCTATTCAGTCTAGAGTCCTTCCCTGACCATGCCATCCGAATTGGTTCTCTCACACAGCCATCTTTTAAATTATTTGATATATACTTCCCACAAGTTTGTTTGCTCCCATTCTTTAGCTTATCTTTCTCTCTCACCACAATGTAAGTTCCTTGAGGACAGCAACTAGGTCTGTTTTACAACTTGGTTTATGAGGAGGAGCTGGGAGAGAGAACATTTAAAAGGATGTGTGACTTTGAAATGCCTGGGGTTGTGATTCCCAAAAGTGAAAAAAAATCACAAAACGGGGAATGGACAAATAGAAATGGGAAAGATGGGGAGGAAGGAAGACAGAAAGTCTTCAAAAATAAAGAGGAACAAAATTAGTGCCATGGAAGATTACATTTCTTATTCCTTATATCAAGCACTGGGATGTAACCTATGTCTAACTCCTTTGTATTTTTAGCACCCTCTGAACTCACCAGAACCTCATGGATTTAGGTCAAGAAGGTAGAAGGGATTCCTGGAAATAAAGCTACTGAGACACTGGCATGTGACAAAATGTTATCTGTCTGCCTCCCTTTTTGTGAAAAGTTGCTTAATAAAGAGGCAGCAACTTTTTTTTTCTGGAATGAAGACTCCCCCACCCACACACTCACCCCCCCGCCCAAATGCAGAGACAAAAACAAAAACAAAAAACTAAACAAAACAAAACAAAAAACCAGGGCCAGCAAAATTCAATTGGGTGCTGGGTGTTAGCAGGTGCCAGTCACAGTGCTAGGTATTTTTTCTCTCCTGCCTGACCCACAGAACCCACCAGGGAGACAGCTGAGGCCTGCAAAGACTGGGTCACTGCCAAAGTGCACAGCTGGTAAGTGGGAAAGCCAGGATTCATACCCAATGACACATTTCAGAGTTCTCTCTCTTCCTACTCATACTCTCCAGGATCATTCCCAGCCTGAGACTGGCAGGAGTAAAGATTCATTCTCTATTTAAATCCCCAGGAAACACTTTCCAAGTGGACCTTGACATGGGTTAATGGAGGCATTTTACTTCTGAGTTTAACAGGCTTTCTAAATGTTCGGAAAATGAAAATAAAGACGTGATGTGTCTTAGAACATTTAATTACAGTGTTACCTTGGTTTATGATTTTTGAAGAAGATGGCTATGTTTGTGTTTCTATGGGGAATATAGCCGTGGTTGTGTTTGTCACTTGATGTGGAGTTTGTAAATGGAAGCAATATTTTGCCTATGCTTTTATTTTCAAACTGAATTGTTAGCCAAGAGAAGCATTCATGAATACTGAGGTATTACTGTAGATTCTAAAGATGGGCGAGAGACCAATGCAATCTTCAACTACCTAGATGCCATGCTGCAGATCACACCAACTTACTACTTCTCATCATAGACACCAAAATAAGAAGAAGAAGAAAGAAGAAAGAAGAAGACCTAAATAAAAATAAAAACAAAAACACCCTGGCTTTGAAAGGCTCATCCTGAGGAAAATATAAATCTCATTTTCACCTTAACATGCCCTGGCCAACCTTACTCTTACCTCTTTGAACTCTTTCACAGTCTTAAAATATAGTCTCTGCTTTTCTAGCAGTTCCAAGTACTGGTCGTTCAACTGGTCTCTTCTCATTTTGTTCTCTTGCTTCTTCTTCTCCATCTGTTAAAAACATTTTGGGAAATGGTGGGTGATAAGAAGGCATTTTGACAAAAGCTGCTGGCAGTGTACAAAAGGCAACCATTAACATTTTCACGGATTCCATTCCACTACTTCGCTTCTATAAATTTTGATAGTTACCTTAACTATTTGTATAATTTTTTGTATATTACATAGAGGTCCTATAATTTATTCAGAAAGCTCCTTTATTAACTGAACATTAACCTCTGACAATTGTTTTCTGTCACTACAAACCACCTCACAATGAACATATTGGCGATTCCCAACTGGGGGCTTTTTGCACCCAGAGGGCATCTGGCAGTGTCTGGAGAAAGTTTTGATTGTTCTGACAGTGAGAAGGTACTACTTACTGGTATCACTGGGTGGGGACAAAGATGCTGCCAAACATCCTACAATGCAAGATGCTTCTAAACATCATACAACGCAGCAGCAAAGAATTCTCTGGCCCAGAATACTGTTTGTGTTGAGGTTGAAAAATCTTAATTTAAATAATTATGTTACACAATAAAATTGTACATCATCTTTTCACTTATTGCTACTAATTTCATGTTATAAATTTTTTACAATTATAATTTTTAAAAGTATATAATGTTCCTGATCATTGCTTGCTTATTTATATTTCTACTGATACAGAATACAGGTTTTTCCAGGATTCTGACCTGTAAGTAGAGTTAGACTTTCATTTAAAGAGGTTTTTCTAAGGTACTCAAAAAGCTTATTTGCTCAATGAACATTGACTGAATACCTACAAAATACCGAAATGTAATAGCAAAGAAGGGAAAGTCCTGCTTTCACAGTGTACATTTAGAGACTGACGTTAAACCAGCACCAAAGAGATATTAAAATTCCCAGGAACTATCAGCAATCTGAAGAAGGAAAAAACAACAACAACAACAAAACAAACAGGGTTGGTGATGGAGAGTGGGGTGGGCACATGGCTTTTTCAGACTGCAGGGCAGTGGGGGCTCTCTGTGGAGCAGCACTGGAGCAGTGGTGGCAATGGTATGTGCTGTATTTTCTGAAGATAAACTCAGAACATCAGCCAGCCAGGAGAGGGCAGAAAAAGTTATGGTGCAGACCTGGTGCTTACTGAATAAATCATGAGTGACACTTTGCCTTGGCTTCATTCATGCCAGACAGTTAATAAGCACAAAGTACAAGCCAAGTGGCTACATCTTAGTAGTTCTCTCCACTCTTTACACCCAGGGCCTCTGTCGACCTCAAAGGTGTATTGCCACCTGGCATCCCTAAAACCTACCCCAACATTGTTCAAGGGGTCTAGCCCACATAGACACTTATGGTCCTGGACCCTGTATCAGCTCTTTGTCCACGGGTCTGCATGTGGACACCAAACAGCACAAGGATCCTCCTGTACCCTAGGCTAGGATTCCAGAGTGGTAACCCACCTTTGCCCAGGTCCTTCCCTCAGCGGGTGGTCCTGCACTCAGGGTCAGAGGCTGCCCCTGAATCGCTAGCACTAGGCAGTCAGTTGTAACTTGCCCTGCTGATCCTCCTTGGACCCCAGTTCCCCATTTCTCTGAGGCCCTAGGTAAGGCCTCACAGCCAGGTCCCTCCCCTCTTACTTAGCACAACAGGTGGCACTATCCCAGGCTTCTTCTTTCTTCTTAGTACTTTAGCAAAAAATGTGTCCATGACAAAGTATGTTCTACTGACATAAACAATGCATTTGAATTATGAATTTATTCAGGACTCACTATGGGAGATACTGTGACAATGTAGTAAGGGTATGAGATTGAGGCCAGAAAGGCTAGGGCTCATATCTTAGCTGTTCTATTCTGTAGATCATGGATAGACTATTTCAATTTCTGAGTAACAGGTCCTCCTTAGCTAAAATCAGCATTTTACCACCTAGATCACAGGTTTTTCTATGAGGAATATATGATATTAAATGTTAAGTGGATGACATGTAATTTGGATCTTAATAGCTACTCAATCAAGGCAACTTTTCTTAACATTTAATGTACTAGACAGCACCAAGTAAGCAGGAAGAGTCTCTCTATTTCAGATCAGGAGCTTATTCTCATTCTGAGTTTCTGAATATTTTCAAATTCTCCTTAATACCAGTCATACACCCCACTTATCACCTCTTCCAACCTTGGTCAGGAACTCCAGGGTACTTTTGCTGCGCACCTACTCACTGTATTCCTGAGATCCAGAGATTGTACCTCCTCTGGGTAAGGTCTAAACACCTACTAATACGATTCCTTCTTTTCTCCTAAGTCCTCAGAAGGTGGCACATATACAGCTGTTCTATCACCTGTAAACAACAGTGGTCCATCATCCTATGATGCCTAAACCCACCATTTCTGAAGAATGTCTTTGGGGAGGACACACACTCACCTGTCACACCCATGGGAGCAAAACCCATCATGATCCCATTATAGGGAGAGCTATATTTTTGTTTTAAACAAACATTACATCCATTCAAATGAGTGCTGTTACTCAAAGGAGACCAGCTGATTCTACTCCAGGTGCCAATGAATATTCAAACTCTTACTTTATTTAGTGCTGCCTTCGCTCATTCAACAAACAGTTCCCGAGTGCCCACCACAGCTCAAGTGCTACTTCAGCCAGAAGACACAGACTTGGGACAGTCTGCTTGGCCCAGGGTCCCCTCATCCACAGATCTCACCATAATAGGGGAGACAGACACCATGGCAGTTCCCTTCACTGGCCAGCACTGAGGTGCAAACAGCATGAGGCTGGGGGAGGGTGGAAAGAATGAAGGGGTCAGTCCTATTTTTCCCCTCAGCAATGCAGAACAGGAAGGAGGAACAAAAGAAAAAAGCCCAATAAATCACTGCTGTTCTTTCATAGGATCAAGGGCAGCTCCCTGAGGAGAAGCAGTAGCAGGGTGGAAACTACCCGCCACACTGAGATCTGGGTTGTCACTGGATTTTGGGGTGTCAGGTTCCATGTACCTCATACCACAGATCATCAAGAAGGGACTCCATTTACTCTGTCCTGCCTAACATGTATCTGGCATGTACTGTTATTTTTGTGGCTGAAGAGAGGAAGCAATTATGTTTCTCACTTGCGATACTTTTCTTCTTTTTTGACATTACCTCATTTAAATAATTAATGGAAACACTAATGACATTTTTCTACAAGAAAAGGAATACAGAGCACTTTTTACCCTTAGCTCATCTTTATGAGATGAGATTAGAAGCAGTCTGTCTTATAAAAGTTTTTTTAGGATGATCGGACCTAAGGCAATTAATTCTTCCATGTGTTTACATACTGAACTCACGATCACGAGAGGGAACACTTTTAAGTCTCCACATATTTTACTGTGGAGTCTGAGGATCATTACAATCTGTTACCTTTTTTATACAGGACCAAAAGCAAGAAATACTTGAAAGTATTCATTAGGATTTGTCTAGAAATACAGTAGCAAACTAAAGCTGTGTGTATGCCATCAGTTTAAGCTGTCAGCAAGTCCACCTTCCTACTGGTAAAGTCTATTCGGTTCTACACAGGCAGGGACATCCTATGCTGCTCCCAGACTCAGTGGGTTTCTGCAAAGCTCTGTGGGCTTCCATATTCCTTATAGGCTCCTCTCCATTCTCTTCTGATTTTTGAGGTTCAATTTCCTTTCACTCAAGCAGAATTCAGTTCAGTGATTATTTGCCTTTTTAAGCGGGGGAACCACACTTAAAAACCAAAATGCTCTAGAAGCCAAGACTCCTAGGGAATGAAGCACTAGTGACAGAATGCCTGGAAGTAGAAATCTGGTGAAGAAGTGACTGCGCAAGAGAGGAAGCCTGCTAGGGAAAGTCTCTGCATCTATCACATAGGGTAGCAATATTCACTGAGGGGGCTCAGGAGGATCAGAGGGTGTGTTACTGATAAGAGGGGGTTACAGATAACAGGAGCCTTTGAACCTCACGGTGCAGGTAGCCTTACTCCTGCAAAGTCAGCTGCCAGGTAGGACAGAGGAGTGTTGCCAGGATGGAATACACACCACTCCATCCACCGAACCCTATAGAACTGCCACAGTACAGAAAAGAAGTCAGCTGACCTTCATCCTACTTTGCTTAATTCCTTCTACAATCTGTTCCATCTGACGTAAAAACTGGTCCCGGGCAGCAGAAGAGGCCATGGCTCTGAAAAAGAACAGGAGAGGTGTAATTAGGACACAGGGAGAGGGGAGATATGAAGCAGACAGCCCCACACCCACACTGTGGCATAAGAGTAAGTGGCCCTTGCAAAGTCCAGAGAATACACAGGGCCCATGGAGCCCAGGGAGCTAAGGATTTTAAACCTTCGAGGAGGCAGGAAAATCATCCAGGTCTCCTATTTAATCTTTTATTTCCTACTTTTTCTACAACCTTCTTAACCAATATGTGTTTTCTTTAAAATAAGATGAGACTACAAATAAAACAGGTATGATTTACCTTGAATTTTACTATTGAAAAATGAAATCAATTTGGTATTGAAAAATCTGAGATTGGAAGGCATTGCTCAGAATTTGTAAACATATTCTCAGTGTTCCTAAAACCAGGGCTTGACAACCTGGGTCCTACTGCTACCAAGCAGCAGCTAAACAGCAGATTATCTGATGTGCCAACACATCTCCTCCTCCCCTTCAGCTCTATAGAGTGGGGATAAAGGGACTGAGAATTCTTTCAAAGGTTTGGCACATAGAGCAGAACTCTTCACGAAAACCCTCAAATTACAGGCTCTTGAATTTATCACAAAAGGAAAATAAAGCACTAGTTTTAGAAACGTCACAAGACTGGAAGGTGCTAACTAAATCTGAATCTCATCAGGAACCTGTGGTGGTTATGATTTTGTTTTTAATTAGAAAAGAATTTTAAAATCTAGAATTTATAATTCATAAAGATCTCAGTCTCAGTCTCAATGTGTCCCTGCTCACCTAATGAGGGCCAAAAGAAAACCTGCTATCCAGGAAGCCAGCCTTGGGCTGCTGGGACGGTGGCTGGGATAGTACATCAGGGACATGCTTAAAGACGCATATGATTTGGGAACAGGTGGGCCTTCTATCCAATTTTTGGAGGAAAATTATTCATATCTGAACAAACTACTTTAGAAGATGTACTTTACCTTAAGAACAAGATGTACATCTTTTACAAATTATATAGGTTTTATTATCTAAATTTTTTTCATTATCTAAATTTTAAAGCGCAAGAACAAAGGGTATTAATCCTGTCTTACCAAGGCAAAATGGATACACAATAGCTGGATTACAATAGCTGGGCAAAGTCAAATTATTTCAAAATTAACCTTTTCACTGAGTTTTCTTGGTGTCTTTAAAATGTACTCTAATCATTATATCTCTGCGGGAACTAAAGGAATGTAAGCCAAGATACAACTGCCCTCAGCAGAAATGGGTATCCTCTGAATTACATGCCTGCGATTATACCTCCAGTCTACTTTTCTTTGTCACACAGTAATAAAGCGAGGTAGGTGAACACAAAGTGCAGGGTCATCAGTATATTTATAGGAAAGAGGAAGTATAGTACTTACTGTGAGAAGTTCTCATGAATTGAATTGAGTAGACTAATCTGGGGAAATAAACAAAACAAAACAAAGAACTCTAAGTAAAAGGCTGAAAGATTCTCACACTACCTCACTCACAGAAAGCTTGCCTTCTCTCTAGATACTTTCCAAAAGGAGCATACACCTTGCTTACGCAGATTAAAGTAACATGAAAGAAAAAATAAGGAACACATTCTTTGTTACATAGTTTTCCTCAGGGAATACCCATCTACTCACAGGAGACTTCTATTCTGCATTACCACAGGATGTAGGAGGACAGGTCTTTGAAGGGCTCTAAATGCCAGTTGTGAGATGCTAATACCAGGGCTCTCTGGAAAGCCACTACTATAGCCAGTTTCTATACTGATGAACCCCCACACTTTGTTTTCAGAGCTACTGGCACAGAAGGAGTTTGTTACAACAGAGTAAGAACATAGTACCTAGCCTATTCCTTTGCTCAGAATTGCCACTGTGTCCAGTTGCTGGTTAGATCGGAGAGCCTCTGAAGGAACCAACTTTTATGGCCCCATTTCCATGGAAAATCCTTAGTACCCCCAGTAGAAGCCTCAAAGTATAACCCAGGAAAAGCTCCAAGTTTAGAATCCAGAAACCTGGGTCCTCGTCTGGCAGTGTATCTATTCAACAATTCCATAGATGAATTTATAGTCTACAATGCAGAAATAATATTCTTTTCCTTAATACTCCAAAAAGAGGATTTAGAGCTAAAATATCACAAGCACAAATGCATCTAGAATAAAATACACAACTTAAATGCCAAGTTCTAACTGTGTTAATATGGCTTGGAATTTAACTCAGTTCAGATTCCCCTCATCCCCAGCTAATACAACAACAACTACAAGAATACAACTTTAAATACTGCTGGTGAAGGAAGGTCCATGGGGTTAAGGCTTCTAAGAAGGGGCTGGCAAGCCTTCTCCTCACTGGTAGGAAGTCCCCCAGGCCAGTGTGTGGGGCAGAGCTGTTCCCCAGGACTGACACAAATTTCATGAAATGCACTCATTTATTCAAACATTTATCAAATGCCTGTTATGTACTTGTTGTTCAAGGCCTGGATAAAGATATATAAAACTTAACCCCTCCTTAAGTAGTGAGTTTGATTTATAACAGGCAACATAGGTGACAAAAATTATAGATGATTAGATTTGAGTTCAGGTAGCAGGCACATCTATAATACCGTTCTTACATATTAAAGTACTTATAAAAGTGCTTTGTAGAGCTCTATCAGCCCCAAGAGGCGGGGTAGGTGGGAATTAATATGTATTGAGACTACCACAGGAAAAGATCTTAGATTTCCTCATTCTGTCTCGATTATAATCACCATTAACACGACGTGATCCCCAATTTAGAGGGAAGGACAACGAGGCCAAACTGAAGTTCAAATATGACCCCCACAGGCTGTGTGCTTTTCACTACAGTGCTACTGTAAAGCCTACCCAGACTGTTCACTTTTTATTACACATAGCTGCACGTCCTGCCTTGACCCTCTGTGTGACACAGGCAAGCCCTGAATCGTGAGTGTCTTTAGACTGAGTGGGAGAATCAGAGGAGGCACCAGTGCTCATGTTGACTCTGCCTCTGCTCTGAATTTTCATTCTTTTTTTTTCATGTCTTTGCCTGCCACTGATGATTAACCAACCACTTTCTCCACCTAAGCTATTACAAGACCACTCACTTATTCCCACTTCAGTCAGCAGGTTCCTCCTGTCTGTTAAAACTCTCAACATTTACTTCATGATGGCACCTCTCACTGCACATGTCAAGTGACACAACTGTACTATACGGAACAACTATCCCCCAGCCTCACTTCCCCTTGGACAATGGACTCCCAAAGAATGTGGACTTTCTGGTGATGAGTCCTTGGCATAGAGAAGGAACTGTTTATCTACTTACACTGAATGTATCCATCTCAGGCATTAAATCCATTTGAAGTTCCTGGAGTCAACTGCTTGTATCATCAAATTATTTTCATTTTATAAAGGTCCTTACCTCTTTTTCCAAATAAACCTTTTTATCATCCAGGGTATTATATAAAGTGAAGAACTGCTTCGTTTCTTTGTGCACTGCTGAAACTGTAAATGGAAAGAAATCAGCATATGAGTACTAACAGTTAACAAATTGACCTCAACCCTTTCACCAATGAGGCACAATACTGGATTCAGGTCTATCTGGGCTAAGAAACCCCATGTGTGCAAACTCAATCACCATAAAGGCTTGTGACCAATGAAAAGGGAATGTATGCAGGTGGGACTCAGGTGATGACTCTGTGTAGCCAAGGTCATAAATCCCTGCCATAAATGAACAGTCACTATTTTGCCATCTGGTTCAAGAACTAGGTTGGGGTTGAGGATATTTCACAATAGTAATAAAAATTGATATTTGCTTGACAATGGCTTTGGTGTAAACATGTCTTTAACAAATGACTTAATGTATGGAATTCACTCGCTTTCAGAGCTGGGGATTTAGCTCAGTGGTGCCCCGCCTGCCTGGCAAGCCGAAGGTCCTGAGTTCCAACCCTAGTACCAAAAAACAAGCTTCTATGTGGGAGAGGAAAAGTTAACAGGCAAGATTTAGGTTAAGAGAAAAAACTATCTTCTGCTGAAAACTGTCAACATTGATACTCTATCTCTAATCATTTGAGTCATGTCTGAAGATTGGCTGAAAGCTCAGGCTGCACTGCAGTGAAATGTGAGGAAGCATAACCTGAACTAAAGGAAGGCAAGAGCTGAAGCCTGAACCAGTAAGGGTGTGTGACAAGCCAGGGACAGAGGGCAAACTCTGCGGTGGGTTCTAAAATGCCAAGGGAGAACTGCAGGGTAACAATATTCAGAATTTGGGGACTGGCTCACAGGCCGAGGCAGACGCATGAGTCAGGTGGGGCACTGCATGAGTGCAGAGGTAAATTGGATGAGAGGGCGCACCCAGACCATGTGAGATTTTGTACAGGGTGCTGAAGACTTTGAAGATTATCCAACAAACTGTGTGGAGCAATTAAATTTAAAATGTTTTCAGAGCAAGAGTATAAACTGATCAACTTTATGTCTGAGGCAACAGTCAGGGGATTAAACTTTGGTAACAGAAGAGAGGAGGCTGCAGCTATAATCTGGAAGAAATGATTTGGAATATTATGAAGAAGTTGAACTGGCAAACAGCAGGGGTCAGAGAGGACTAAATGAGTTCATCTCAGCTCAAGGAAAGTGGAGACTAAATTTAGTCTTCTACCTGTTTGAGTTCTGGGTATCATGGTGGTTTGCAAGAGGGGAGTATAGAAGAGGGATGATTGGGTTTTGCTTGGAGTGGAGAGCCTAGGATGGGCTTACAGAGTCTGAGTTGAATCTTGAAGGATTTTTTGCCTGATAGAAGAAAAGGATTTGGGCACAAGTAACAGGAGGAGGAGTCATTACTACCATGTAAAAACTCTGGTGTGTACACAGGCACTGTGCAACTAGTGAGGCACCATGAGGGTTCGGATAAGGAAATAAGTAAGCCTCAGGCCTCTAGGAACTTGAACTTGAAGGACCCATCCTAGGCAGAGTAAGGGCAGAGGATTATCTAGTAGGCCAGGCAGAAATTAAAATTTGTCAGCAGGGAAGTAACATTACCAGCTGAGTTAGTAAGTGACGTGAGGTGCCACAGGCCAGCTTGTACTCATTATTCTGAGATATCATTCAAATAAGAAGAGACATGGAAGGACATGGAGGTCCAGGAGACCAAAGGCAAGTCAGAAGGGAATGCTGAGCCTGATGAGACGTGGTCATTGATCCAGGCTGAAGGGAGACCGGTCCTGGATTACTGGGTGAGTAAGATGCTGTTAAAGCAAAGACCACATTAGCAAGAATACTGGTAGCAAGGATCAGTCAGTGAGAATCCATGCTCAACGTGAAGTAGGAAAGTAGAGTGGGAGCTCAAGGGAAGGCCCTGTGGCTGACCAGAAGAGGACTGGCTCAGCACATGACTCTCACAGCTTCACTGGCGCAGAGCACCACAGTGCTGTTCTAGGATTCCAATGTGGCCTGACAATGAAATAAACCCTTTTCTGGGGTGGCCTTTGTGATCTGTACGCTGGTGCATCCTGCACCATACCAAAGTGAGAACTCCTGTCTCTCTCCAGCTTTGAGTTTGTGTGGTTGATACACCTACTCTGGCGGTAGAGTTCAATGAATCTCTTCTGATACTGTATTAACTCAGCTCGGCTGGGTACTTCATCAATCTTGCGATGTAAAATTGCTATTTCTCGATTTCTTCGAGCCTAAAGGCAAAAGGAAGAGGGAAATAACCTACTTGGTAAAAGGCCTTACATATTATCTGGGGGACTAAAATATTGCCAAAAGCCCAATCACATGCTCAATCATAGGCTCAATCACATCCCCTAGAATGTAGGAACAAAATACTGCCTTTGGCTTGAGGGCCCCACCTGAGATTTTTATTTTTTGACTTTGTGACACATGAGGAGGGTGTACTATAAACTCAAACATAGAAAGCATCAGGGTAATAGACCAGGAGGTAAAGATTCTGAATGGGATAGACTTCTGTGGAAAGAGCCCACAGAGAGGCTGCCAAGACCCAGAGGGCTCCTCTAATGCCAGGTGGGGGCTGGCAATAAAAGAAATATTTCCCAGAGAGAAGGAATTTATGCCACCTTGCTGCCTCTTCACAATACATTCTAAATTTCTCAGTCTGACTGAAAAGCCCTACAGTTTATACTCCACTACTTCCCAATGGACTGGGGAAACTGCCCTACTGACTGTATGTAGAAGACAGTGTAGTACGGGGTACCAGGGGACAGCTGCCACTGGAATGAGTGTCTTGACTCACAAGAATCATGGTCTCAGGACTCAGAGGGCTCTCAGTGCTATTGTTCTCTGGTGCCTTCATTCCTCCCATTAATTCACTGGTGAAATACACTCTTCCAGGCAGAAGACCACTGATCTCCCATGAGGAACTCAGCTTGGCCAAAGGAGAAACACATGCTTCCCTCTGACCAGAGTTGTTGGGACCCCACATGAGGTTGTCCACAGAACTGATGGTGAGTTTCCCCTCAGGAATCGTAAGATAGAACTGTTTTCTAGGAGGCATAAGTAGGGCTGCAAGTTAGAGCTCAACTTGTGTAATTTAGTGAGACCCTATCTCAAAATTATAAATACAAGGTCTTAACATGTAGCTCAGTGCAAAGGCCTTGGGTTCAATCCTTAGGGTCCCTGATGCCTCCCAAAATATAACTATTCACCTTTTTGTATTGTATTTATAACCTTCGTTTCCCTATCCAACCTAATCTTACCCTCTCTACTGGTTCCTCATCAACATTTAAATATGCTCAAGTCCTTAACTTAAAAAAAATCCTTCCTTAAAAATCATCTTCAGCCCCTAGGCTCTTGCTCTTTCTTTTCACAGTAACCTCACTGATAGTCATGCACACATAGAGCTTCTACTGCCCCCTCCAAGTACCCTTCAACCCACTGCAACACTTCTCCTCACTGGCCACTGAACTACTCTGACAGTCAAGCAGACCTTCTAAATTACACCCCCAAAAGATGATTCTCAGCTTCTAGCTCTCCTGACTCCCAACAGCACTTCCCCGACTGAACTCTGCTCAGCTTCCAAGAACTGCTCTCATTTCCCATCTGCTTGGTTTGGCCTCATACAAATCAGCAAACGCCTCCCTTTTCTTTCAGCTCATGTGTGCCCTACATTTTCACCAGTTTCAACTATCTTCTATACAGTGTGGACACCCAAATCTCCAGCTCAAACAGTTCTGTGAGTTGAACCTAATAACCAATCACTTCTTGGATGTTTCTACTTAGTTGGATCCCCTAGAAATATCTCACTAACACTCCTATTCATATTGCTTCTGTTATGCTTTTTCTCAGTGAGCAACACAAGTATCTACCATTGTGTCAGAAACTCCCACAAGATCCACGACTCTTTTCCCCACCTAAGTGGTAAGTCCCATCACATGCAGCTCCTCACTCTACCCTGACAACTTATTTTAGGTGTCCCCTGCCACTGCTCTACTTGCACCCTCAACAAGCTATTGGTTTTATTGCAGCTTTCCTCTAGCTGGCTTGAAGCTGCACTTAGTTAAGTGGCTCAAAACAAGTATTTAACCTATTTGAGTCTATTTTTTCATACAGAAAAACAAGGTTAATATTTACTTCCCACCAGGGTAAAATTCAATTTGAACCAGTGATGGTGAAAGTAATACAACAATGTGAGATCTTCTTACCAACATCTTAAATCATGGCATGACACACCAGCTAGAAAGGAGACTAGTAAACAGCAGCCTCATTACCTGTTCCTGCCAGTTCTTACACAATGAAATTTCTTAGTTTTCTAACAGGACATTCACACCTAGTTAGATATATTTGTATATTGCTTGTTTTTTATTTTACTTACCTGCAGTAAGCGGATCTTGTAAAGTTTCTCTTTTTCCATATTATACCGCCTGTCTAGGTCTTCCTAAATATAAAAAAGGCCATGATTATCTGGAAATGGAAAACTTTATTTTTAATGGAGTCTTTGGAAGATGAAAATGTATTACTATACCTTCCCCATCCTAAGACCTCAAATTTCTTTGGTCAAATTGCCAAGTTTAAGGTCTATTTTCACGTAATACCCCATACACCCTTTTATAGCATAACAATTCTTTGGTCAGGGATCTTGGCGGAATTCAGTGTTAAATGAAGTAACTTCCATGTCCATGTATCCTTTCCTCATACCACCAAAAGAAAAAAAAAAAAAAGACTGTGATGATGTTATGGCAGTTAGAATTTATTGCTTTATGTCTCTGTTTGGGGATGATGCTGGATTTTTTTTTTTTTTTTTTTTTTTTTTTTT